TGGTAGATTTACATATAACATATATATATATATATATATATATAACATATATATATATATAACATATATTGTATGTACAGTGTAGAAACAATTTTCACACAGAAATTGTAAGTAACAGCAAGTAACACATTGAATTCAACATGAAATTTTCAAGTACTGAAATATTATTTTCTTGTAAAACACTCCAATAATCTTTGTTTTATACTTTGAAAAATAACATATATATATATATAACATATATATTTTGTACAGTGTAGAAACAATTTTCACACAGAAATTGTAAGTAACAGCAAGTAACACATTGAATTCAACATGAAATTTTCAAGTACTGAAATATTATTTTCTTGTAAAACACTCCAATAATCTTTGTTTTATTGCAACTTTGAAAAATCATTAAGCTCATAATTGTGATTTTATGCTGTGAGATGTTTATAACAGTACAGAAATGTGCTAGTTAACAGCATAACTAGTCTTGTCCGCCAGCTCGACCAGTGAGGAAACTGGCGCTGATCTAAGCAGATATCACACAGTAAAGTGTGAAGCATGTACCTGTGTAGGTGCTTCATCATGACGCTATTTTTAACCTTGCCCTTCCTGTTCCTGTTTAGCGCTCATGTACGCCAGTATCTTCGGGAACGTGTCAGCCATCATCCAGCGGCTGTACTCCGGAACGGCTCGTTATCACACTCAGATGCTGCGGGTGAGAGAGTTCATCCGCTTCCATCAGATTCCCAACCCGCTGCGCCAGAGACTGGAGGAATATTTCCAGCACGCCTGGTCCTACACCAACGGCATCGACATGAACGCCGTGAGTCCACCTGCTGCCTTACATCACCCTCAGGCCATCCCAGATTAGGATGAGTTTGTTTCTTCATCAGGTTTGGAGGAATGTAGCATTGCATCAGTGTCTCAGCAATGGATGCTCTGCAGTGAATGGGTGCCGTCAGAATGAGAGTCCAAACAGCTGATAAAAACATCACAATAATCCACAAGTAATCCACAGCACTCCAGTCCATCAGTTAACATCTGGAGAAGACAAAAGCTGAAACAAATCCAGCATTAAGACGTGTTTAACTTCAAAATATTGCTTCCGCTAAAATATGAGTCCATAATCCATAATAACACTGAAAAAGTCAGTGAAAAAGTCCATCTCCTGTTGTCTCTCATCAAAATCCAGCCACATATTTGTTTAGAGCTGTTTTGGCTTGTAAACGGTGCTTGATCTGTGCAGATTTCTCTCCTGATTCAGACCAGATGCTTTTTCACTGGAGGAAGCGTTATTATGGATTATGGACTTTGTTGGATTTGTTTCAGCTTTTGTCTTCTCCAGATGTTAACTGGTGGTCTGGAGTGGTGTGGATTACTTGTGGATTATTGTGATGTTTTTATCAGATGTTTGGACTCTCATTCTGACGGCACCCATTCACTGCAGAGCATCCATTGCTGAGCAAGTGATGCAATGCTACATTTCTACAAACCTGATGAAGAAACAAACTCATCCTAATCTTGTGAGTCATTTCTGGGTGAGCTATACCTTCATCACTAACAAACTCACTTGCATTACCTTTAAAGTGATTTGTGAGCTTGATTACATGAATGTGTATAATAAATAATGAGTTCATTTAGCAACTGTCCTCACCAGCACATCCTCTACTATTACCAGCCCCAAACGCAGAGTTTAACGAGATTACGCATTGAAGTAAAGAAAACAAATGAGCGTCCACCTCCACCCATCAGCTCCTCTCATTAAGGAGCAGTGGAGCGTTCTGATTGGACAGTCAGAGCTGGTATGATTGCTGTGCTGCCGAGGGACATGATGTGGATCATAATTTTTTCATCGATTTTTCAAAAAATTATTTACTGAACCACTGAGCTCTGAAACATTAAACGTTGATTTAAAGACGCCAAAGTACTACAAAAAAGTACGATTTGCACATGATATGTTTTATGGGACTGCAGATCTCATGAAGCTTTGCAAATAATCGAATCAGAGTACAATAAAACATTAATGATTCATAGTCATTAATAATGAGTATAAATGTTAAATACTATTTTAAGAGTCATAATTTTATTCAGCGAGGACGCATTAAATTAATCAAAAGTGACAGTAAAGGCATTTATAATGTTACAAAAAGTTTTAAATAAATGCTGTTCTTTTGAACTTTCTATTCATCTGTGAATCCTGAAACATAAAATGTATCACAGTTTTCACAAAAATATTTAGCATCACAACTGTTTTCAGCATTGATATTAATCAGAAATGTTTCTTGAGCAGCAAATCAGCATATTAGAATGATTTCTGAAGATCATGTGACGCTGAAGACTGCAGTAATGATGCTGAAAATACAGCTTTAATCATAGAAATAAATTATATTTTAACATAGATTGACATAGAAGACAGCTATTTGAAATTGTAATAATATTTCACAATTTTACTGCATTTTTGATCAAATAAATGTGTGAGCAGAAGAGACTTTCAAAAACATAAAAAATTCGGTACTTTACTATAAGGTTCCATTAGTTAATGTTAATATATTAACTAACATGAACGAACAATAAACAATGCATTTATTACAGTATTTATTAATGAAAATACAGTCGTTCACTGTTAGTTCACTGTTAATTCAGAGTGCATTAACTAATGTTAACAAGCACAACTTTTGATTTTAAGAATGAATTAGTATATGTTGAAATTAACATTAACTAAGATTAATAAATGTTGTAGAAGTATTGTTCATTCTTAGTACGTTAACTAAAGTAGTTAACTACTGTTGAACCTTATTGTAAAGTGTTACCAAAATATCTTACAGACCCCAAACTTTAGAAAGGTCTGATTACAGAAAAAAAAAATACTTTGCAGCATTTAATAGTTGTTTTTCTGTGCTCTTTCAGGTGCTGAAGGGTTTCCCAGAGTGTCTGCAGGCTGATATCTGTCTGCATCTGAACCGGACTCTCCTGCAGAACTGTAAAGCGTTCAAGGGCTCCAGTAAAGGGTGTCTGCGAGCGCTGGCCATGAAGTTCAAGACCACACACGCCCCGCCGGGAGACACGCTGGTGCACGCCGGAGACGTCCTGACCGCGATCTACTTCATCTCCCGCGGCTCCATCGAGATCTTACGTGGCGATGTTGTGGTGGCCATCTTGGGTAGGTCATTTCAAAAGATCCTCCAGGATCTTTTATACTACATACAACACTTAGGGCCAGTTTTACTAACAGCTTGCACCAGTCTTTTGGCGTTAAAATGGTACTGCACTGCAAATAATGATTTTCTTCCTTAGTATTTTTGTCTTGTTTTCTAGTCCATGCCCATCGGCGCTGTTTTGGAATTGTGGTCTTGCGCTAATTTGCCCTGTTTAGTAAAACTGGCCCTTAATTTTAAGCAACTTGGATCTGTTTTCTGTGGTGCATCCTATTTAAGCCATGCTAGCTAGCTGTATATCCACAGTTTGTACTGTAAGATTACGTTTTGAATATGGATATTTTTCTTACAAAAGCGCATCGATAAGCTACAGGAGGCCTTTGTTCACGCCGTGTGAGACACTTTTTATGGATGGGTGCTTTTTATTTCACTTCTTTTGGACTGAAGCACTGCAACCTGCTTCCGTTTACAACAGTGAGCGCAAGCTAGATTCAAGTGATTATTACGTTTTGAATATGGATATTTTTCTTACAAAAGCGCATCGATTAGCTACAGGAGGCCTTTGTTCACGCCGTGTGAGACACTTTTTTATGGATGGGTGCTTTTTATTTCACTTCTTTTGGACTGAAGCACTGCAACACCCGCTGACTGCAATGATAGAGCTTGGAATAGCCAGGACAATTTTTAATCTAACTCTGACTGGATTCGTCTGAAAGAAGAAAGTCATATAAACCTAGGATGCCTCGGGGGTGAGTAAAACACAGCCTAATTTTCATTTTTGGGTGAACTAACCCTTTAACACTTATAAGAGTCCTAGCTTCTCCCTAGCTTTTCCCAAAGTTCTGCCTGTGAGACAGAGCTTTATACCTAAAGACAAATGGCTAGAAACAATAGATACTGTCAGGACCTCCCGCTGGAGATCCTGCAATCTACAAGAAGCTCCAGAGGAGTACTGTTCTTTTGTTATTCTAAATGTATGGACCATTTGGTTCACACCTGTACAGACAGTTCCTGTTGATTGCATCTGGGGCACAGTCACAATGTAAATGCATCTGACTAAAGATACACATAATCTTTCAAATGAATGGAGCAAAAACACAGAATTCATCGAGGTGTGCATGTTCACTTATAGACAAACATGATTCCCGGATCTCCCAGCAGCGATGATTCAGACTGCGTCGGCTTCAACAAACTGCGGAGGAGAAAACTTTCATTCCGACGACGGACAGAAAAAGGTTTTCCTGATAACTGATGTTCAGTCTGGATTTATTATCATAGATTCCGTCATTTAATATTCGGAAACACACTATTTACAGATGATATATACAGATAGTGGAGCTGTTTTGCATGTGCCGATTTTGCATATTCATCCCGTGTTTGTTTCTCCAGATGATGCCGATGCTGGAGAGATCAAGAAGAATCAGAAACCTGTCCGGAGAGGCAGAAAACAAGCAGCCAGTAACAAGAACGAACTCAAACCGGGGTGGGAGGAGCCTCGCAATTCTATCTCCTCCCACTCCAGTGGTGATGAGGGGGAGGAGCCTGTGCACACATGCCCCACCCCTCCCACCACGCTCATGGATGTGACTGAGGGAGAGGGCGATCCCAAAACAGGAAACACGTGCAACGCCCTATCAGGTGACAGAATGACAACAGTAAACGTCTATAGTATTTTAAAAAAGTAGTTAAAAAAGGTCAAATCTTTTAAATAATAATATTAGAAATATTCAGAATTTAAATTTTATAATATAAATTTGTATGGAATAAAAAATAATATAATATTATATAAAAATATTATTTTCATAATATTGTGTGTTGTAATATAAAAATAAAACTGTTAACATTATAATGTTGAATATTAGGATTTTTATTTACATTTTATAAAAACATTATATCAAAGATCTGAGCCTTTTGTGTTTTTTTGTTTTTTTTGGGGGGGGGGTGTGATCGCCACTTACTACAACTTTAGTTTGTTACATTTTTACCAAGATTTGATTGACATAATGTTGTTTTTTATGCATTTTGATTAACTTTTTTTTTCGAAATAAAAAACTCAATTGAGATAACATTTAAATATTAATATAATATTTTGCAAGAGTGTCCTGGCCAAGATGACAGCAAAGGGCAGCACATCAAACAATCAAACAAATAAAATATAATATAATATAATAAAAGCTAAAATAAATTGTAAAAAAATTATAATAAGTTAAACAATCATCAAATAAAATAATAATTAAATTATGGTAATACTATGAATTAATATTAATATTATTTAAACAAGAGTACTTAGAAATATAAATGTTATAAATCATGCTGTATGTGGTAGTAATGTGTGTGTGTGTTATGTGTGCCTCAGGTGCATTCTCAGGTGTGTCTAATATCTTCAGTTTTTGGGGTGACAGTCGGGGGAGGCAGTATCAGGAGGTGCCCCGCTGCAATCTCCCGTCGCCCTCGCCGCATCCCAGCATGCCCCTGCGCAGCATCAGCCGCCAGCAGCGCAGCCAGATGGAGAGCAGACTGGAGCTGCTGCAGAAACAGCTCAACAGGTCTCAGCTCACTGCACTCAGAACACCTGTGTCCACTCAACCTGCTGTCTGAATCAATTGACTCACTAAAACCAGATTCACAAGCTTTGAATGGAGTTGCTTTAACAGCCCGACATCGCCACCTATGAGTATAGGAATTAATTGCATTGCAAATCTAACTGTGCACATAACTGTTTTCTGAATAACCTGTGTGTGTGTGTGTGTGTGTGTGTGTTCAGACTGGAGAGTCGCATGTCGACGGATATCGGCGCGATCATGCAGCTCCTGCAGAGGCAGATGATGCTGGTTCCTCCGTCCTACAGCAGCGTCTCCTCCCCGCCGCAGGTGTCCATGTCCCCCGAGATCCTCGTGCAGCCCGTCACGCCGCTGGACTCCAAAACACCGGCTTCTCTCTCACAGGTAACACATGATCATAGTTACTGCTCACACCACGCTTGATAAAATTTAGAGAATACATTAGCATATTATCTAAAAAAAATAGTCCATTGCATACATTGTTTTACTTCTAAACAGTTTACTAGTCAAATTCTATTCAGTTCAACAGGAGGTGCTACCATCTCATGGCCAAATTATTACAATTATTATTAATTAATTAATGTATTTATTTATTTGCATTTCAAAATATATCTAATTTATTTTATAACATATATGTCTGTGTATAATATACACATTATACTATATGTGTTAACAATAAAAATAAAAGAATATATAGTAATATAATAATTGTAAACTATTAAGACACACAAACACAAATACTATATATATATATATATATATATATATTAGTGCTGTTAAATGATTAATCACAATTAATCGCATCCAAAATAAAAGTTTTTGTTTGCATAATATATTTGTGTACTGTGTATATTTATTATGTATATATGAATACACATACATACAGTATATATTTTGAAAATATTTACATGTATATACA